ATGTCCAGCTCAGGTGGCCACCAGGCCTTGAACAAGATTACCAGGACAACTAGTGAATATCAATGACACCAGCATTGCAGCAGGATTTTTTCTTGGCACTGGATTTTGCCTTCTTTTTTGTTACAGGGTTTCCCTCCCTTTCACTGGGACAAATGGGGATCACAAGTTCCAAACAAGTTAAAAAACAGAAAGAAATGCAGCTTGCAAGTTTACATTGTAATTGATATAAGTCTATTATTACAAGACAAATTGCAGCAGACAATGCAAGAGACAGCTCAATCTGTTACCCAGTCCCTGCAATGGCTGTATGAAGAACTCGACCATTTCACTCATAAATCTTCCTCCTAAGTTTTCATTGCTGCTTGTATGGGAAAAATAATAAAAACTATGGAGTGACGTGTACAAGGGATGCAGTAACACATTTCTAAACACAATTACATTAAATTTGTTACAGGAGCCCTGACCCTTTCAGCATCTAATCAGGAAGGAGGATCCATCACAAACTTTCTTCAGGACAAAATTCCATTTCCAGGACACTGACCTGCTCCCTAACTCAACAGCAAATACAAACTCCACAGGAAGAAGATTCCTGAGATGTACATTCCCATTTACTTCTTAGAGCAATGAATTTAGCGATATTTTTATACTAATTTCTTGTCTCTTGTCTGGAGCTCACAGCACCCAGCAAGGAGATCATGAGAATCACTGCACAAGTAAAACTTCAGAATTAGCTGCCAACGTTGATGAGAGAAACAGAAGAAAGGAAAAAAGATTGGAGAGGGGGAGATATAATATGGGAAACATGAAATGATTTTGCTCAATGAGTTTAAGGGCAGCTATGAAATGCCTGTGGCTCCTCCTCTGTCAGGAGGCCACAACAGCAGAAGTGACAGAAGCCAAGATTACAGCCAGGAGCGCTGAGGGGCAGCTTTCTGCCAGCACCTTGGGGTCTCACAGCCAGCTGGAGCCTCCCTTCCCCTGACAGCCCCAGGAGGGGCTCTGGGCACTCCTGGCAGCTCAGGGACAGAGTCTCCAGGCACAAGGACATGGCCCCTGCACCAACAATCCCCTCTGACAGCCTCACTCACATCCCAGCACCAGCTTTGACATCTTATAGCACGCACTCCAAAACCAAACTGGCTTCCCTGGCACCCATCCCTTCTGCTGAATCCTCAAAGAAAAAGATGCTGGTGGAAGAGATCTCCTTTTCCTTTTGGGTTGGCAGGAAAACAGTCAGATTTACAGTCAGGTCTCACAGACAAGTAGGGAGGAGGGCACAGACTAAGCTTAATGATCATTTAAACCCAGAACTTATTGATTAACACAGCCACATTAAATCCAAGCTACTTTAAGAGCAATATTCCAACAGCAGCCAGGAAACCTAGAGGCTATGGCTGTTAGTCTCATAGTACAGTTCTTCTTCCTTTTGCTTGCACAAATATGATACAAACCTCAAAAGAATCTGACTGGAGGCACCTGCAACAGTGAAGAGGCCTTACACTCTAAATTACCTTGCTTTTGTTAGGCAGGTGAATGGTCCATAGCATTCTTCCTGGAAGAAGGTTTCTCCCTTCAGAATTCAATTTATAAACTTACTCCTGCCAGGCTGCGATAGCAGCTGCTGTATAAACCTGAAAATGATGACTACTGGAATTCCATTCAAACCTCAGGAATCAATAGAAAGCAGACAAACGACCCAAGATAAAAGTTCCACCCAAGTGCAAAGAGCAAGGACTGCAGGATCCCTCTCATTGTTTTTACAGGGGCTGCAGTCACCATCCTGTGAAATAGAGACTGCACAATCTCATTTCAGCTTGAAAACCTGACCTGTGCTATCCACACACTGCACCCACACAATCTGCCTGCTGGGAATGCCTCAGTTCCACTGGCACTGCCAAGCAGAAGGAGCCTCAAAAGACAATTTATAACGGCCAGGACAATTTATAATTTGCTGAGATATATTCCATTTGGTAAAAGCTTTTTGTAAGGCCTTCTTGGAGACTGTGATCCTGCTTACCTTGAAACAGCAGCTCTTCTGTAAGTTAATCACAACCAACCTGCCTTGGTGTCACTCTGGCTCGTCTCAACTCACCCACATAAACTTGTTTCTGTGGGCAGTAAAGAAATACCCAATCACAGCTTAACTGAACTAATATTGTCTGCAGGCAGCACCAGCTCCATTGTAAACAGCTCTGCATTTTATTTATTGTTATAGTCCTTCTGACTCATACTGCCTGACAGACAAGCCAGGTGAGGACACGAACATATTAGAATTTAAAAGGGAAAAAAACGAAATACTTAAAAATCTGCCTTCCTTTGAACAAAGCACAATATGCTTCAGTTGAAAAGGAAATTATCATTTGCCTAATACAAAAGAAATCCTTTGTCCCAATCACAGCCTACTCTGAAGGAATGTAATTTTGGAGAGCTTTACACAGTGTGTTAAATTACAAGACAACCCATTGTGGGTTTATCAAATTGTGAGCCAGTGTGTGAGACAAAAAAGATTCTCATTGAGAGTGGGTGATAGAGTCTAAGTCACACAGAATTTGGTCTATAGTATGCTAGAACACAGTGAAATGAAAGATTGGTGCATATATTATTCCAGGAATACTATGAAATATTTGGTAGTGAGCTATAAAACCTTCCTATTCTGAGATGCACTAAAAAAAAAAACCCCATGAACAAATACAGGGGTTCATTTGCTGCATTCTTTGCCTACTGCCCACCTGCTTTGACTCAGAATTTCCTCTCACAAAGGTAAAAGCAAGGCTGAGAAATTCAGTAAGAGCACCACAAGAGCATTCAAGTTGAGAAGCAATAGCCAGATATTCCACTGGACACCACTGGGGATATTCAGTGATGTTGTCCACCAGACACTCACTCATCTGATAGCAATCAAATTCGATTTTCATCTTGCTTTGTTAAAATTCAATACCAAAATAAATAAATAAAGATTTAAAAAAAGGCAGCACCTTTAATTTTACATCAACATTAATAAAATATTCTTGTTTTAGAGATTATTGCTGAAAATGCATTTCATCCAAGCACCAGGTGCACTTGAGACAATTTCCACTGGACTCACCATACTGGCAGCGAGGGCCCTGGAATCCTGCAGGACACTGGCACACCTGGGACCCTTCTCCAGAGCATTTCCCTCCGTTGAAGCAAGTGCCAGCAGTGCAGAGCACTAGAGCACACAAACACAACAGGAAAGGCTATTTTAGTTCTTTTTGTGCCAAGGATCCTCCAGAACAGAGATAGTCCTGTTGCAACATGACCTTCCCAACAAGAAGAAACCCAGGTTCTTATTGAAGGGCAAAGGACTTGGTATCATAGGTGTAACTACCTTGTTGATATGAGGAAATTTAATAAAAATTAGGTTTGGGTATTGCAGTTTAATCTGAAGGTGCTTCAGAGGCAGAAGGCAGGACTCAAAGCACTGCCTGAATCCAAAATAAAATAAGAAAAACTGCCAGACAATAATGTAGGAATGGTTAAAAACCACTGATGCACTGGGAGATATTATATATGTGGAAGGGAATTACAATTCTTCCCTTCCTCTAACACAGAACAGTTTTATTTACAATAACTCAAATTCCACATGCTTGAGCCAAACTTGCAAAGAGTATCAAATATAAAAGAGTAATTCAACCACTTTGGTGCCTTAAAGAATTCAAAGCAAGTCTGCACTGCTCTTTCAGGAAGAAAATTTCATTTTGCCACTGGTGCTCACATACCTTAAACTCCTTTACACCAGAGATTAAAACACAGCTTGTAAACATATTTTTGACTTCTAACAACTAAACAGGTGCACACTAAATATGTAGATTCAGGCTGAAACTAACAGGAATACCTCTCAGGCTTGTTTTTGTTTTTTAACTACAAAGAGACAACCATAAAAGCAAGCTCTTCGAATGCATACCCTGAAGTTGGTATGAAGATTAAAAAATAAATAAGAACAGATGCTAACTTTCATATAGAAAACACAATTACTGACTAAACAGTAACAAAACTAAACACTGAGTAGGTTGCCATCTTCTCCTGATGTCTTGTTAACAGCGGCTGAAGCGCTGCCTTATCATTTCAATTAAATTCCATCTTTCAGGAAAGCATCCAATCAGGATCAGAAATTAGTGAGAGAAACAGGTTCTCCTCAGATGGAGACCCACAGGGCAGGAACAGCTTCCATGAACTTCAAGGAATTGCTTCAATGGCAAGAGCAGAAGTGCAAATGCCAAAACCAGTGAGACCCCACAGTGAGCTCTACACCCAGGGAGCGAGTTCTTCACAGCAGATTTCTCTGCATCATTTGGGTAACAGCAATAAATCTGGTTGGCCTGTCAAAGCCAGGCTGGCACAAAAATGCTGCAACAACTCCAGTTGGAGTTTAGACTGTTAATCTAAACTGTTTCACTGCGTGGATTAAAATTAGAGCTCTTTGCTACTTTTACGTGAGCGCTTTTGGATTTTTAAAGGACCTTCATGCCCCCATCACCAGGGAAATCCCAGTTACAAATCACAAGAAACAAAACCCTTGTGTCTGGAAGTGGGGATTCAGCAGGAAGGCAAGGCCTGAGGATGTCACCTCTTGGTTTGCCCCAGGTTTGTCCCAACTCACAGTGCAGACAGCCGCGTTCGTTGTCGCGCTGGGCCCAGCCGGGGCAGCACTTATAGACGGTCTGCTGCTCCATCCTGTACACCTGCTTGTAAACCGTGTAGTAGCCAGACCTGTGGGGCAAGGAAGGTTCAGAGAGCAATCACAACTCCTGTTCCACTCAGCCCCACCTCACCAGCAGCACGCTGTACTCCTGTGTCATATTTATCAGACATTTTTTCAGCCTCCTTTGGAAATTCTCGTTAAAAATAAGCAAATGTAGCAAACTGCATCCTGGGAACATCCAGTGGCTCTGAAGTGCTATGTCCACATATTATTTTGAAGAATTTGTATTCAGGCTAGTCAAAGGTAACTTTTTTTTTCCCCCCCCAATCAATTTTGGGTTTAGCTGTTGGGGGAGTCAGATCTCCCATCAGTTCTAAGAAAGTGACAGAAACAGAAAGAAGTTCAATTTTTCAAAGTCAATGACTTGACAGCTGGGCTTCACCTGAACAAGAACAAGACAGGAACATTTTCTGATAGTGTAAAATTCTGAATCTAAAGCCAGCCACAAAGCTCACGAGCAACCCAAAACACATTAAAAAGTCACATTTTCTACTCAGTAATAACAGATTTCAAGCCAAATCTCAGGAGGACACTATGCCCATAACCACACACTTCAGATGAAACAGTTCACAGCTCCTCTCACAAAAAAGTTAAAGATCTTGCAGAAAAAGATTAGCAACAAAAGCTGTTTATAACAATAGATGATACATTACCTTCTCTCATAGCTCACACACCACCTCCCCTTTGTGCAGCCTTGTTTCCACATCTTGACCATCCTGCTGAAGGACTGAATGCAGGGCTCCTGGTGTCCCACCAGGGCCAGCTCAAACACTGGGCACACATTTGGCCTGGGGGGGGAAAGAAAAAGATCATTTTTATTTATAACACCAAATTTAGACATCTAGAGAAATGCACATGAAACTATGCTGTGTGTAATGGTTTGAAACAGGGTTTTTACTGGTGTTTGAACACGCTGCAGCTCCGAGATTTAGAAGGCAGCATGTGAACAATGTACTGAAACTCAGGCTCCACACAAGTCCATGAAAGATTTACCACAGATTCAAGGGCAGATAAGATTTATCTAAACTCTTGCTAGGGAAATTGTATATTCTGTAAGAGCCCCCCTCGCTATCAGTCCCCTCAGGGAAACACATGAAATTCGTAAGAGGAAGGATCCTTGTTCTCTGCTGATTATTCCTAAAATAACAGGACCAAAATAAAAGCGCTGCTTTGGAGGATGATATGTAATCTTCATCCTGCTACCTAGCCAGAGTTACAAAAATAGCAGGATTGCAGGAGGTATGGAGGGTCATAAGAAAGGTTACATTCTGATGGTTTTGCAGAGATTTTGTCTGCCTTATCCCGATTTCTTTGCCCTGGTATAAATCAGGAAATTCTGCGCGATGGAAAATAACAGCATCAAACATTCAGGGTCTAACTAAAACCATAAAGCATGAGGGGTTTTGTCATCTTTGAAGGCAGGAACCTGTTGTGACATGAATGAAACTAATTCACTGATTTTTTTTTTTGAGTAGTTTATAGATCGTTAGTGCAATAATTTAATCATCAATTCCCCAGGACAGCCTGGTGAGGCTTTGCAAGCACCAGCCTCAATAACCCAAACACAGGGGGGAACAGGGACCTTCTACACCCACCCTGGCAAAAACAGCACTCAGCAGGTGTGTCCTTCCCCAAATTTCACTCAGAGTCCTCTGCAAGCTGAAGGGTGCTGGAGTAACACCCTGTCACACATTTCCTGTCCCTCATCACAGGTAGAAACAAGACCCTGTGCTAGAAAACCTGGGGGTGGCACTAATAAAAGAGCAGCTCTAGCCCAAGAGCTGCCTGGCAGCTGGTCATCATCACTTACACTGGATATTGTTAACATCTCATCCAGGATTTATGGTGCTTTTTATCTCCGAGGCTCCCTATTAAGCCTGAACACCGCACAGGGTAGCCTTGCTAACAAGGGAACATCTTTCATCCACAGGTCTTCAAGTAGTTTACAAATATCATTAAATTAAGGCTGTGCAGAACGAGAAAATACTACAATCATGATCAATGTTACTGCAGAGCTGAGCACGTGGAAGGAGCCCTGCCTGGATGAAATCCACAGTGCTGAGAGTGGGATGTGCAGCCAGGTCTCCCAAAGGCACCACAGCTGCAAGGGAATGCCTGGGACATCCTCTCAGGGTAAAGAGGACCTTTGCCCAACAAGGACACTTCAGGAGGAGGAACAGACTGAAACCCAATGCCAACAGCCCTCAGGAATCCAGGTAGGCCATGTAAAGGAAGTTAGGAGAAGAAAGCTCACAACTGTAAGCTCTGGTTGTCACCAAGGGGAAAAAAAGTAAAGAATCCATTTGAACTGGAACACCTGGCCTTGACAGAAGTTACTTTCCTGAACTAGAATATCTGTTTCTCCCAGGCTTTAGAGCAATCATCTCCATCCTCCTAAACCACAGGGCCAGTGGACATCCCTCCATGTTCTTCCTCCTCCAATGCACAGTCCATTCTCAATACAGCTCCGTATTTCCCATTCCCCAGGTCTGCCAACACATCAAAGCAGAACAGGAGATGGTCACAGCCCAGTTTCAGATTAAATTCCTCAAGATTCCCCCACATTCCCAGTGTCACCTCCATTACTTTGCAACCCTCCCCATGTGTCCCAGCTACCACTTCCCTCCAGAATCACCTCCCCACTTAACACATTTAGCTGAAGTTCAGAGCCATTGTTCCCAAGCCATTCTTAGCACAAAGTCTGCCATTTGTTTCCCATCCAAAGAAGATCTTTGTGTGCCCAAAAACTTGTCTATTTTTTTTTTTCCTTTCCATTACGTCAGTTGGTCTAATAAAACCCTTGCCTTACTTAGCAACCATGCCTCACTTAGCAGGCTTTTTAAAATGACTCTCCCTCCAGTGAATAGAACATCATGTTCTGATAATTCATGCATATCTCCTTTTATTAGAATTGCCTAAAACTTTCCAGATAAAGGTACATTCATATGCATCGCTCTTCCATAAATAAAAGAGAGGAGCTGACAATTGTTGCAATGACACACTGAGCCCATCCCACAAGTTCCTCCTCATGTGATATTGCCATGTTTCCAGGAATAGTAGTATTGGCTTCTAGGATATAGTTAATGGGAACAAATGACGCTCACAGAACATAACAAGCCAGCAGCAGAGTCATATGTTTTTGAAGATTTATTCAAAGTAAGTCATTCCTCCTTGATGCCCTTGGGATAATTTAAAGGCAGATATCAAAACTGCTGAAACACTATAATTAAGTTGCAGCAATTGCATAACATGTAATCCTGTGCTGGCAAAGCTGGGAATCAAACATGCCCTCTTCAACAATTCAGCATCTTCACAGCTCCCCACACACACAGTCAACACGGCAGTTTTTAAGCCATCTGACTCACTTGATACCTCCAAACTTCAGAACAGCTCCTGGAACCAGGCTACAGCTACTGAAGGCACAGTTTCATTTGTGGAACTCTGCTAATTGGAGGCCACCCGGGACTAAGCTGAACCCTCAAGTGGATGGAGCGGTGTATTAGAGAGCAGCTCCTGTTCTACTGCCCTGCCCTTTGCATCCAGCAGATATTCCTTAATGGGAGTTGAAGTGTTAAAACAAGCAAAAGACTCCAAGGGATATTATGGGCCACGATTTGATTGATACACCGGCCCCTTGAAGCCTTTTTGCACTGGTGCTCTGCGCTAGCCAAGGCTAACACCAAGGCTATTATTAGCTTGTCAGTCTGACTCAGGCAAGGCAGAAAGCTCTCTTAATATTTGCATTAGGAGACTGCCCTTTAAACAAAGACACCCTACACACTCCCAGCTCAAGACTTGAGATTCTAATGAACAGATAATTAGACCAAAACGGAGCAAGAGCAGCATGGGCTAATCATATGGCTGTGGTGCCCGTGAACCGCCGCGCAACGGGAGAAGTTCAGAGAAAATTAAAAGCATCTCCAGGCGGGATGTAATTCATTCCTGTGTTTGGAATTTTAAAAAGAAAAGGAACAGATCTACCACAAAATCACACAGAATGGTTTGTGGTGGAAAGGACCTTAAAGATCACCCAGTTCCAACCCCTTGCCAAGGGCGGGGACACCTTCCACTATCCCAGCTCCAAGCCCTGTCCAACCTGGCCTTGGACATTTCCATTTGGAAAGGTCCTTCACATCTCTGTGACAGGGATATTTTCTTTTTCTGCCAACACCTGGAATGGTGAAGCAAATCTCTCATTCTACCCATCTATTTTTCCCCAGCTCAATACAAGAAGCTAAAGGTAGGTAGATTTAACAGTAGCGAGAGAGCAAACACACATCAAGATGTCCCTAAAGATTTCTTTCAACAGCACAAACTTTAAATCAAAACATTAACGAATACGAATTTGGCTGTCTGATTTCAGGTCTTTCCACAGAGACTCTGTGAATGACACCACCTTCTACACTAAGTCAGACAGCTGTTAACATCCCCCTAAAAATGAGACGTTGCAGCCTGCGTTGCCTCAGCTGCCGAATTTGCAGCCTGAACGCTATTGATCTTCCCATAAATCAGTCAATAGATGAAACCTGTCATAAGGAGCAACTCGCTGGAATCCTGTATTTTCAAAACACTAATTGGTTGCTGCTTCTTCCCCTTATGCTGTTATTAAAAGTTTAGAAAACCACAGTCTGCTTATCCAGTTTTAGTTTGAAAAGATCAAATAAGAGTTTTCTTAAGGGAGCCAAGATTACAGTCAGGGCTAAATTCCCCACTGCTGTGATGACTCTTTTTGCACTAGAAATACACTGATGTTGATGTGAAAATAGCTGTACACTGCTACAGAGGATTTGGTTACAAACTTTTCAGGTTAACTGTCTGAAACCCCTCACACCCCCAGCATCCCAGCAAAACATCACCACTGGCTTGTAAAAAAGACCTCTGGAAAGAGAAGGTGGCACCCTGAAGAAACACGTGGCACTGTAGAGGAGAAACAGCCTGCAGCATGATGTTGGATGGATTGAAAGTTTTCACTCTGTATGATCTCAGTTGGAAAGGAGAAAAAACCAAATTTTATTTCAACGCAGAAAAAGAAAAGTCAAATCAGGAAATAGGCCACAGAAACAAAAGGTCCAAAGAACAAGTTATATATATTTGCTTATATACGTAAATTTTGTCTCTAGATACATATTGCTTAATAATCCACAAAGGCCAGAATGACAGAGGAGGCTTTTATTTTTTAAACTGCCAAGCTCCCCTTTCCACCCTTAATCTATTTTAAGGCTCATTTCCCTGATAAAATTAATCAGCACTACCAGAGACAATTAGGACATCCTGCTCCCTTGACCACTAATCAATCCCTGCTCTCTCCTGATCCTGTATCAATATTTGTGATGTTTATAGCCCCTCTGGGACATGGATTGTAAGCACCAAGCTCATTTAGATTAGGTCTCATTATCACTGCTGTTCTCTGGCTCTGTGGATGAAGGTCCACCACACAAGGCTCCCCTCATCCCACAGGTTACTAATGCACTGCTGGGTCTTACTCACATCCTCCCTTTGATTAGATGGAGCAGCTAAATAACATGAGAGTTCCTTCAGCCTTTGTGCCCTGCATCTAGATGAAGAGCAAATCAATAGGAGATGATTAATTACACACTCAGCTATTATAACAACAATAAGATTTTTAGTTCTTGCCGCTATCAAAGTGCAGCGCCTGTCGTTTACCTTCTACTTAACCATCCTCCTCCCTCCCCCAGGACAGAATCATCTATTTGGGTTGGCAAGAAAAGCAGAAGATAAACATGCACATCCAGATCGTTTAACCATGATTGGCCAAGCCACTTTTTTTTTTTTTTTTTTCATTTTAAAATCATGGAGTGATTTTTTTGTTCCTTTCTTTTAGAGTCACTTAGACTCAATCCCCAGCAACATCCAGTTTTACAGTTTTATTTACTACATCCAGGAGAACAGCACTGCCAGTGGCCAGGCCTGCCAAGCCCCAAGCAGAACACTCAGCTTTACAAATTTAAGGACCAGTGTTACAAGGATCTTTCTCTTAATTAGAGAACCATATGGGATATCACATAAAGGAGGCTAAGAAGTGTCTTGATAGGACATTCATGGCTGGGTTCCTTTCTCCCTTGGACTGAGACTGACAAAAAAAAGGCAGTTTTCTCTTGTTTGGATTTGGTTGTTTATTCTTCTTTTATCTGCATTCCATATATACAAAGCACAAGGAGCTACATGGACTAAGATAGAAAGGTGGAAAATGGCTAACAAAGATCTTCTTCAAGGTCTTTTATATGTCTGTTTACCCAATTAACAAATGCCAAGTTATTTTTCTTAGTGACCCAATGACCCAGCACCTGTGTGCTGCACTGGAGCATTCTCTATCCAATCACTCATTACTACTCAAAAACCTCCAGAAGAAGATGAAGAAGGAAAAGAGACAACACCCTAATTCCTCCATCTTGCCTCTTATTTCTTAAACAAGTTTAAACCTTTAACTTTCTCACCCAGTGACTTAAGAAAACTCTCCAATTTACACACTTACACTCCTAGTTTTTCTATTTAACAGTTGTTTTCAGGGTGTTATATGAAATTCATTGGATGTCAGAGCCAGGTATCAGAGATAAGGGCACACACTCTGTGCCCCTGACTCCAACAAAGAAGTAGCTGGCATGCACCCATTGTTAAGGCAG